ATAAGGTAACGTATGTGCACCTTAAGCAGGGATGTGGACGGCCAGTAACTTAGGAGAGCTATACTGTAGATTAGACCCGTTAAATCATTCAACCTTACATCAGAAAATCCTAGTTACTTTACTTTTTAGTGCGAAACCACCTGATGAGAGAGCTCGAGAGGTACTGCACATGCACACCGCAGTGGTATAATCATGTCCACCGTGGGTTGATTCATGTGACCAAAGCTAACGCATCCCTACATGCTTAGTGTGTAAGAGGACAGACTGTATGTACCAGATCCCGTGGCCATGTCATAGATATTGATGTGGCAGTCCACAGATCCTGATATCACCTGGTCCCAGTCTCATGTCCAGGACACAGAGTTAACCTGGCACATCGTACAAAACAGCTACATTACAGCTCACATACATCATACCACATGTGTCTAATTGTGCATTAACATACCACCTTTGTAGGACACGTCTGTGCGACAATAAATATTTAAGATCACCACTATAGCGAACTGACAGCTCACATACCCGCAGCTGTGCAATTAAAAAGTTGTATATAGAAATGTTGACTTGTGTAGGAATGTTCTAGAAAATTCTCGTACAGATATGCTGCCACTAAACTCACACATCCATTCTGTCGCCTCCAGTACTCTAGTATTTGTCAGGCTCTTCACCAGATCCACAGAATCTGCAGAACAACGGTGTACGGTTCACCACTGCTTGCACTACCAGAGCTGAGCAGGAAGGTGTGCAGCTATTGTATATACCTATACCTCTGACGGCTCGAGAGAAGACGTTACGGGTGGAGAAGACCTTGCTGTCGCTGGCTTACACAAACGAGTGAGAGACTCCATCACTTGTTCCTACCCGGCCCGCGAGCACAGCCGACACACACGTTTTTAGTTTAATATTTCTCTTTCGCTCAATTGAGGTATAATATATATACGGTAGTTCTAAGTGCGCTTATTTTATAGGCGCGCTATGTTGGATCATGATGCATGATGCTGGTTGAAGTGTGCAAAGTGATTCCCTCCTGCTTTGAAGCTGAAACTAATGACAGCCCAGTCTCAGTTCTTGCCAATGGATCCTCCTTTCTGTTTTTGATCATATCTGAGAAAGTGGTAAAGTATCTTTTTTACAATGCAGCCGATTTGTTTTGTTGTTACCTGCCCTAACTGCACCTCAGGTCTCAGTGAAGTTTTATGACACTGCTGCTGTGCTTCATGTGAGCCCCCAGCAGCTGCTAGCACTCTGCTGCCTCAGCAATGGGAATATTTCTGCCCTTTCCCTAAAACTGTAAGCTACGTATGCATATTTCTTGCGAATAGAATCTGTATGTATGTATGTACCTAATCTTTACAGTGCGATTTCCAGGGTTCCAACAGAAGTCCAAAGTGCTGATATTCTCTCGTCCCTGTTTGGAGAGACTTGTGACAACATATCAGCTCCAGCACAAGCTGTTGATGGCCGCGATGTCTCAGTTAGTTTGTTCCTTTTCCCTGTTTGTCAGTGGAGCATCTGTTCTGCCTTTGTCTGTAATGACAAGCTCATTGTCTCTGCAAGGAAGGAGAATTGCTCTGTTCTCAATGTCTATGCGTCTTCTTCCGTTACCCTGTTTGGTGAACATAAGCTTCCCGTGTTTTCCAATGGCGTACTCTTTCAACATGAGATAGGGTCTTGCAGTGTGCCTTCTAAGGGGCTCTTATCTACAACTATAGCCTACAGGCCTGTTTTATCTCTTCTCCGCTCCCAGTCTTCTGTGAAGAGTGACAGTTCAACATTGAGTATTGCCTCGTCTGCCTCGGACGTTTTCTTCCGTCAGCTTTTTGGTTTCGATTGTCTCTAGCTCGGTCAATTGTCGCCGTCGTTGGGACCCAAAGTGGTGCAGTTTTTATTTCTCGACACACGTGGTTATTGCACCCCTTCTTCTGGTGAATCAGGTGCCTCTTTATCCAATAATACCTTGTGTAACCTGGGCCAACCTTAGTTGCCATTCACCCCCTGTGTTTGCCTACGCATCCTGAACATCAGCAAAGTGAAGACTCATCAGCCAATTCCTTGCTTGTTGTTGGAAGGTTAGGGAGTTGGCGCTTTGACTGAGGCAGAGAAAGGGAGAGAGGCTCCTTTGGTGGCCGAGTTCAGTGTTACCGGACCAATTCTCTCTCCTCTTTCCTTGTGGAACGGCATAGCTTTGTCTACAGTAACACGATGGAATATACCGCATTTGCCTCGAGCCTTCTTGCCTTTTAAAGTCATTGGATTTAGATGCAGTTCTCTACTCTGTTGTGGTCCCTAGGTCACAGTTCAATTCCTCCATGTCCTGTTTCTGCAACATGTATGTCATTTATCACAGGGCCTCCCCACCAACTGTCAATGAGCTTGCAGTGCTACAGCCATCAGTGTTGACGGCAAGCTGCTTAGGTTTCAGCTTGAGTCATGCAAAGACACGGTGAAGGTGATGAAAAGACTAGACATTGGTAGAGAGATGAGAGAGAACATGGACTCCATCAATAGACTGGCCAAAGAAATCTCACGGCTCAAAGTCAACTGAAACTTGTCGACTCTGCACTGATGGAGTTAAATCAGGCTCTGTCAGTACTGCACTCAGTCCAGTCTTCCGATGGTCAGTCTTCTCTTGCACTGTGTCTCCAGTGCAGATAGGGTTGGCGTCTGCCACTTAGCACTGGGTGTGAGGTGGAACTCGGCTATACTGGCCTGGACAGGCTACAGAGAGGTGGGCACTCTTGATAACTACCCAGTGTACCTCTAGTACTCAGAGCAGGTTTACTACTCTATCATTGGCTGGTTTGGCACCCAACTGACATCCTCAAACACAGAGTCAGTTGGATCTTGAAACTGGAATGCCAGCTACCTTTTCTGTCGCTGTCGCTGTTTTGTTATAGCCCGAACTCACCTCCATCGATACTAACCCAACTTAGTCTTTATAGCACCCCCAGAAAATCATCCTTCCGTCTGTTAGAGGCAGTGGAGTTGCGTTCCCACTGGCTTATGCTGTCTTTGATGCTCTTGGACTTCACCCAACCATGTTCACCTAAACTCATACACCGACGTTTGCTTCAAATGTACCCCACACTCCTCAACAGGGCCATTCCTTTGAAATGATTCTCCCAAACCCAAATCAAAGAGCAGAGGTGTCCTCAGACTCTGTCTGCCTGTTCACAGCTGCAGAGGCGTTTTGGATGCGCTTCGTTCTTCCAATAACATCACTGAATCTCTTCCACTGGCACAATGGACCTTTTCATAAATACATGCTGCACCTATGGCGGCTCAATTGTTTCATTTGAGATCAATAGCACGGATGAAAGCTGTCTGTTGAAAATTACGAACACGGATCTGTCAGAAGTATGGTAGAAATCATGAGTTTGATTTGCTGCAGATGCAGGTAGAGAAGTTTCCCTTTCCAGCTGAAGTAGCAACTTCCTTACAGGTATATCTACTGCTAACATGTAGTTGTATCTCACTGATTTTTCCTCTCCACTCTATGACAGTGAAATCCAGGGAAATGGCAGCAGTTGCAGGAAACTATCAGAGTTATTACTGTCATCTCCAGCTCCTGCAAAATGGCACAACATTGGGACCCGACTCAAACTGGGGGTCTTTGATCTCGATTGCATCAATTCTGAGCCAGGGTTTGGTCTGGATGACAAGTTCAATCTCATGATCAAGACCAGGTTGAAGAGGATGGAGCCATGCACCTGGAGAGATCTCTACGATGCTCTTAACCATCCTACTGTTGATATGCCCAGTGTTGCCAACAAACTCACAGCGAAGTTACCAATTGGTGTGTATAGATAATTCTTATTCGTGTGTTTTACATTAATAGTTATTCGTCATGCAGTTGTGGCGCTACCCGCAGAGCAAAGGGCAGCAGGTGTGGCTACAACCTCATCTATTAGTGGAGGAGTCCAAGGTTCAATACAACAGTACACACAGCATAGTAACTTGGAATGTATTGTTGGGGAGCAAACAAGAGAGCCACAAGTGATGTGGCGTAATTATCAAGAGAGTAATAGCTATGATGACAGTGTGTGGGTGAATCTACACACAAAAATTTGGGGTTTTCCCCTTCCTTGTGACTTGTGGCTCCTTATGAAAACAGTCAATGTGTGATCCATTGGCCAGTGTATAATTGCGCAATATGTTTGAGTGTATAATTATTATTATTATACCTACAAATAATGAATGGATACTGCACAGCTGCATATAGGTTTACCCCATAATTTTGACATTCCGTAAGTTTTACATTGATAAACGGAAGGTTCTTGTACGTGCCAGGTTTACAATTTTTCGTTTGAGCCTAAGAATCAATTCTTTCGTACTACTAGATAAAGAAATCACCGAGACGAGAGAAAAGATTGATCAGTTGCAGAGAGAATACATCGATATCTCCGTTTGTGCTGCTGAAGAATTTAGCAATAGTGTTGCAGTTAAAAAGTTACGCTACTCCCTCCTCTGTCTTCCATCTAATCTCAAAAAGGAGCATAGAAGGTTTGTTACTAAAGTGAAAGCCGAAATAAAACAAGCTGAATCAGCTGAGGATATAATTGATGTTATTGGCGAACATTATGACTATCTCCACTACACTCTGTTAAAGTATGTTGTTGATCTCTACGGCAGCGATGATCTAAAGAAAATGATGGAAAAGTACGAGAATAAGATGAAAGCATTTAGTTTGATTGTAGATTAGTGTAGACAGTAGAGTAAATCGAGTTCTTTCTCGACTCAGAACATACATCAATCAAGACACTACTTTGTTGGTTGCCAGTCACTTGCCTGTACTTCAATATAGCTTGTTAGGGAAGTCGAGCCCCACCCACTGTCTAAGTAGTACATGCACCTGGCAGCTTGCATTCTATGAGGTAGCAGTATGGCTTAGTAGCTGTGTACCCTCTACAGCTCTGGTAGCTTTGTTTGCGGAAAAAGTTGCCCAAAAAATATTGTGTCCATTGAATGCGACTAATTGGTGTGGTTTGAGGTCTTACCCTATTGGAAAACTGTAGGTCAGTTTAATGTATATTTCGAGTGAGCCTGTGTTTTATGGTTATATGGGAATTCCTACATAGAGTGTTTACTGACACTCTTGATAATCACATACTCTGTTTGTCATGTCAGAATGGGCAGAGTTCACTGATGTATGCATCTCAGAATGGACATGTGGAGGTGGTGGACAAGTTATTACAACATGGAGCCACAGTAGACCTGCAAAATGAGGTATATGTACATACTAAATGCAAGCAAACGCGTGTGCAAAACGTAATCTCAGAACAGTGAGGTGAAGGGAACGTGCATACTTCATACTATGAGCTCTCTGAAAAAGTCTGTCGTCTAGGTTGGATGCGCGATCAGCAATACAGCAGATTGCATTCCGTTTTATCAGTTACATATACCTGTAGCATCCATCATTTTCAAAATAGCATAGAAACATGTGGCTTCATTGCTTGAGAAGCCAGCCCCAATATCTTTCATTTTACCTGAAAATGCCCATGGTATATAGCTCCGCTCACCACAGCTTTACATATGTACTATATTGGTGACGATTAGGATCATTATCTATGGTTTGTCAGTCTGTTACCACGTTTTCTGCCACCACACGCAACGGGACAACAAAAGAGTGATACCAAAAGGTTTAGCGCTACACTGGCTTGATTTTTGTTTAGTGAATTTCGTAAAAATACTGCGTTCTGGCGTAGAAACCAAGTTTATCATGGATACTGAATCAAAATTGTTTTTTGCCAAATTCATTACCTACTACTCTGTGTCTCACCTCAGAATGGGTGGAGTTCACTGATGGCTGCATCTTGGAATGGACATATGGAGGTGGTGGATAAGTTATTACAACATGGAGCCACAGTAGATCTTCAATATAAGGTATGTATCAATTGCAAAACGCTATTGAGTAAATGTAAGTGACCACATGAGAAAGGTTAATCATGTCTACTCAATGCAAAAGTACAATTTCAGCGTCAGGTTTAGCATGGCATGATATGTATTCATGTTAGTATAATACTCTCTATAAAACTACCTAGATGATAAATGACTCAGATTGGCTAATCGTGCATGGATACTGAATCAAAACCATTTTTTGCCAAATTCATTGCCTACTACTCTGTCAGAATGGGTGGAGTTCACTGATGGCTGCATCTCAGAAAGGACATGTGGAGGTGGTGGACAAGTTATTACAACACGAAGCCACAGTAGACCTCCAAAAAGAGGTACACACACTATATGTACATACGCAATGCAAGCAAAGATGTGTGCAAAACGTAATCTCAGAACAGTGAGGTGAAGGGAACATGCATACTTCATTCTATGAGCTCTCTCAAAGAGTCTGTCGTCTAGGTCAGGTGCGCGATAAGCAATACAGCAGATTGCATTCTGTTTTATCAGTTACATATATACATGTAGCATCCATCATTTTCAAAATATCATAGAAACATATGGCTTTATTGCTTGAGAAGCCAGCCCCAATGTCTCTTTTTTTTACCCGAAAATGCCCATGGTATATAGCTATGCTCATGACGATTAGGATCATTATCTATGGTTTGTCCGTCTGTTACCACGTTTTCTGCCACCACACGCAACGGGACAATAAAAGAGTGATACCAAAAGGTTTAGCGCTACACTGGCTTGATTTTTGTTTAGTGAATTTCGTAAAAGTACTGCGTTCGGCGTAGAAACCAAGTTTATCATGGATACTGAATCAAAATTGTTTTTTGCCAAATTCATTACCTACTACTCTGTGTGTCACGTCAGAATGGGTGGAGTTCACTGATGGCTGCATCTAGGAATGGACATGTGGATGTGGTGGATAAGTTATTACAACATGGAGCCACAGTAGATCTTCAATATAAGGTATGTATCAATTGCAAAACACTATTGAATAAATGTAACTGACCACATGAGAAAGGTTAATCATGTCTACTCAATGCAAAAGTACAATTTCAGCGTCAGGTTTAGCATGGCATGATATGTATTCATGTTAGTATAATACTCTCTATAAAACCACCTAGATGATAAATGACTCAGATTGGCTAATCATGGATACTGAATCAAAACCATTTTTTTGCCAAATTCATTGCCTACTACTCTGTCAGAATGGGTGGAGTTCACTGATGGCTGCATCTCAGATTGGACATGTGGAGGTTGTGGACAAGTTATTACAACATGGAGCCACAGTAGACCTGCAAACAGAGGTACACACACTATATGTACATACGCAATGCAAGCAAACGTGTGTGCAAAACGTAATCTCAGAACAGTGAGGTAAAGGGAACATGCATACTTCATTGAGTTCTCTGAAAAAGTCTGTCGTCTAGGTCAGGTGCACGATCAGCAACACAGCAGATTGCATTCTGTTTTATCAGTTACATATATACATGTAGCATCCATCAATTTCAAAATAATAGAAACATATGGCTTTATTGCTTGTGAAGCCAGCCCCAATGTCTTTTTTTACCCGAAATGCCCATGGTATATAGCTTCGCTCACCACAGCTTTACATATGCACTATATTGGTGACGATTAGGATCATTATCTATGGTTTGTCCGTCTGTTACTACGTTTTCTGCCACCACGCGCAACGGGACAACAAAAGAGTGATACCAAAAGGTTCAGCGTTGCACCGACTTAATTTTATGTTTAGTGAATTTCGTAAAAGTACTACGTTCCAGACTTATGGCGTAGAAACCAACTGAAAGTACGATTCAGACTACTCCGTGTGTCATGTCAGAATGGGTGGAGTTCACTGATGGCTGCATCTCGGAACGGACATGTGGAGGTGGTGGATAAGTTATTACAACATGGAGCCACAGTTGATCTTCAATGTAAGGTAATGAGCACATTTCTTTCACTGATTACCTTGTAGTTGGGTGGCTGCCAATACAATTCTATTGTGAATTTGAAGCATATTTAAAAAAAAGTTTCTCGTTTATTCACAAGTTACATTACTTTTCTATGTGCTAGGATGGGTGGAGTTCGCTGATTTTGGCATCTTACGAAGGACATGTCAAAGTTGTGGAAAAGTTGCTGGAGCATGGAGCAAAACTAGAGAACATTATTTAATAAAGTATGTGTAGCTATACTGTACATCCCATTGGTGGTGTTAGCTACGGTCCAACCCCGACAGTTATGAATGGTAGATGCAACTATGATTTTATTACTACAGTATCAGGACTCGGCACTAATAATGGCCTGTTATAACAACGACTTGACCACGACTTCAGTCCTTCTCAGAGCTGGTGCCTACCCAAATAGCTGCAACAAGGTATTGCCTCTATCAGTCCCTATGTTTTGCCAGCTTGTTCATACTATTCCTCCCAGTTTGGACAGACTCCACTACTGTTGGCTGTAAGAAAGTACAATGTAGCAATGGTCAAGGAATTGATAGGGGCAGGAGTTGATGTTAACAAAATGGAGCAGGTATTAATTTTATGTTGGTTGAGTTGTAGGATTAACCCTCACCTCCATATAAGGTTACCTCAGAACTTACCTTACCTCTGAAGGAACCTCTGAACAAGGGAAAACATGGGGCCAATGACTTTTTAGAGAGAGGTCGTCCCTATCTCAGAGGTCAAATAAAACACTGAAGTATTAGCATGGAGTTGAAACAAGTGTCCTTGGTAGTGTAGTTATTTTAGAGAGGTTTTCCCTATCTTGGAGGGTCCCTTATCAGAAGTTCCACTGTAGTTGTTTGGTCTGTCATTTGCCATGTTTTCTGCTACCATTTTCTACATATGACTTCAATAGTACATTTCCTTTTTCTTCATAGGAAGGACTTTCTGCTTTGATGATGTGTTGTGATGATGGAAATTCAGAGATGGCAAAACTTCTACTTGATTATCAGGCTAATCCTGACCTCCAGCAATCAGTAAAGTTCCTAATATTGTTGATATTGATTGATAATTATTATGACAAGCCTATTATGTAACTCAGGAAACTGGATACACAGCTCTGATGTTTGCCTGCAAGGGAGGTCATCTGGATACAGTAATAGGTCTCATGGAACACGGAGCTGATGCAAAGATTAGGAATGTGGTATGTCACACAGCCTTCTATATACCTAATGTAGTTTAACCATGGGTTAAACGAGGTTAATGGGGAGGGTAGTGCTTTTGGGGTGCGCAGGGTGCACCCTCTGCGCGTGCGCAACCGTCAACTCTTATTGCAGGCAGCAGCAGCATTACGCCGCATTCGGCGCTGGCTCACCTGCAACACACAGCGACAGGCTCTGCAGGTTTTCTGGTACCAAGCTTTCTTCTCGCCATCGGCCCACGTCGAAAGTCGACTTCCGCAAGACAAGCCACCGTCACGGTACGACGGAATGTCCAGCAGCAGCCCCCCGTCGGCTGCAGCAACAACCGCCGCCCCGACCGCAGCGGCGGCGGGTCCCTCTGCATCAACAGCGACTCCTGATCCTTGCGCTGGTGGCAGCGCGGACAGTGGAGCCACGCTAGACCCAGCCATCGTGGAGGCGCTCCGGGCCGCGATTCAGCAGGAGGTGAGGGCCGCGTTCGTGTTCCCTTCCGGCTCCCCGACGACAGGACCCCCAGCCGCCAGTGCGTCCGGAGCATCACCCGCAGTGACTGCACCGACATCAGGTGAGTTAATCGCTATTTGTTGGGTGGCGGCACCACCTTGACAAGCTGATATGATACGAGCGCGTGCTTCGCAGCCCGCAGCGCGGGCCAGGCCAGCACCCAGCCGCTAAGACAGGGACAAGAGCGTCCTGCGCTGCCTTAAGCAAGGCCGAAGCCAGCATCAGCTCCAGCAAACCACCCGACAGGGCATGGCAGCGGCAGCTACAGGTGGTCCGTCAGGCGATTGCATTGTGTATTGTCGGTGCCCATTATCGGCCTCGCACCCACTTGTGGGTTGACCCTCCCCACTACAGGTCCCACATCAACACCTCTAGGCTCCATCCCAGTATATATATACCTGCATCGCTGGCAGCGCTGCCACTGTTCTTCCTTGGCCATTCTGTCTCTGGCAGAGCAGCTGCAGCCACAGCTACTACAACTATGGCAACCGCCCCAGCTATCGCAGCTCTGCTTCCAACTGCCAAGCCACCTGGAGAAGGCGCAGTAGTGCTATCGTCAGCCCTGCCTCCAATCGGAGCCAAGCTAGTACAAAAGATCAGGTCACAGCAATATGTGGCAATGAAAGAGCTACTCTCTGACAACATGGCACTACATAGCCAGCTCGAGGACCTACCATCTCAGACAGCATTGACCGCCCGTCCCCACCGTCTGCGGGAGATTGAGTCCCCACTGTCCTGCGTCTTTTGCTTTCTGGCATACGTAGCCATACGCACGAATGACAAGGAAACCAGAGACATGCTCACCTACGCTCGGCTAGTCATACGGGAGGCCCAGTTCCATGGTGGGGCTGGCTGGCTGGAGTATGACAAATGGTTTCGCCAACAACAAGCAGCCCTGTTTGGCAAACACCCATGGAATGAGCTAAATGCTAGTCTGCATGCAGCCACCCTCATGTCCCTCCGCTCGGGAGAGAGAAAGCTGTGCAAGCTCTGCAGAGCGCCCGATCACGCCGAGGCCCAATGCGCACTCGCATCCCTTCAGTTCCAGCAGTGGCACAATCCCCAGCCCGCGCCATCCCACTCGGCGTCTCCGCAAGCAGCAGGGAGACGTGTGGCCAGACCCGAGACGCTGGAGCGCATTTGCTCATCATGGAACAAGGGGCGCTGTGCCTTCCCAGGCACATGTAGGTTCCGACATGTGTGTGCCACTTGCAGGCGCAAAGGCCATCGGGCGAAAGACTGCGAGGAAACACCTGCCGACTCATTGTACAAGACGTCAGGGCAGACCCAACCTGCAGACAAGGCCAACCCAGAGAACCTCCGACACCGAGGTCTCAAGACGCGGACATGCAGTTATGCACTGGGCACCACTGCCACAGTTTCTCATTTATTCATGTTAGCTTATTATGGTGCATTTGTGTTGTGTTGTCTGACAAGGCATTGAATATCGGGTATTCGCCCGACACAGGGATTGGCAATGTGGTGGATGGCAAGTACCTATACATACAAGACCTCCTCAAGCTAGAGGCGACGGCAACAGGCCTGGGCCCAGGCATATTTAGACCGGCTACGCCACTGCGGCAGCCAGCATGGCAGAGGGCGCTATCGACCCACCCTGACCAGGCATTTAGCCGGTACATACTTCAGGGCATCACCAATGGATTTCACATTGGAGCAGACAGGGCCACGCAGTTCAGGCCTAATCTAAGCAACATGCCGTCAGTCCAGCAGCAGCCACAGCTGGTAGAGGCCCACCTCAGGACAGAGGCGGAAGCCGGACGCCTCCTGGGCCCCCTGCCACTACACCTGGCCAGGCTCGTCCAGACCAGCCCAATCGGGCTTATCCCTAAGCCACGCCAGCCAGGAAAGTGGAGGCTGATTGTCGACCTGTCCTCGCCCGTGGGGAACAGTGTCAATGAGGCCATCTCACCCGATGTATGTCATATGCAGTATGCGTCAGTGCTTGACGCTGCTCGGATCATTCGGCAGATGGGGGCGGGCTCTCAACTAGCAAAGCTGGACCTCCACAACGCCTACCGCATGGTGCCTGTCCACCCAGATGACCACCCTCTGCTGGGCATGCGCTGGGGCCAGGATGTGTTTATCGACACAGCACTGCCATTTGGTCTGAGGTCAGCCCCCAAGATCTTCGCTGCGCTGGCTGACGCGTTGGCCTGGATACTCCATGCTAGATGGGTCACAATCCAGCTGCATTACCTGGACGATTTTCTGCTGATAGGGCCGCCAAACTCCCCAGCAGCCGCACTAGCTCTGCAGAAGACTCTGGAGACATGTCAGGAGTTAGGGGTGCCAGTAGCTACACACAAGACAGAGGGCCCAAGCTGCCAGCTGACTTTCCTGGGTATCCACATGGATACAGTCAAGATGGAACTGAGCCTACTGCCAGACAAACTTGCACGCATCTCGGAAATGGTGCGGGAGTGGAGTGCAAAAAAGTGGCCTCAAAAAAACAATTGCAGTCCCTCATAGGCACCCTCAGCCACGCGGCTACAGTGGTTGTCCCCGGCCGCACTTTCCTCAGGCGCATGATTGACACAATGAGGATTCCAAAGCGTCAGCACCATCATGTACGTCTCAACCGAGAGTTTCAATCCGACATCCACTGGTGGGCGTGTTTCTTGCCGTTATGGAATGGGAAGACAATCCTTCCCCCACAGCAGGTCTCTCACGCATTCTGGTCAGATGCCTCAGGGTCTTGGGGCTGCGGCGCACTCAGTCACACTCTTCACTGGTTCCAGGTGCAGTGGCCAGAGTCATGGCGGCAGTGCCACATCGCTGCAAAAGAGATGGTGCCTGTGGTGATTGCAGTGGCAGTGTGGGGACGTCCCTGGAGCTCCTCCGCAGTGCAAGTATTCTCAGACAACATGGCAGTTGTATGCGCAATTTCCTCAGGGTCAGCACGGGACCCTCTCCTTATGCACTTCCTGCCATGTCTGCATTTCTTCTGTGCCCACTTCCAAATAATACTTCGAGCCCAACACATAGCGGGGGTACTCAACACCGCAGCTGATGCATTGTCAAGAGATAAGCGCAATGTCTTTCTCTCATGCTTCCCTCAGGCACCAACCGAACCATCTCAGGTGCCGTGGTCTCTGCTGAACATGCTGCTCCACAACCAACCCGACTGGACATCTTCCAGCTGGAGGACTCTGTTTCTGAGTACCTTGCAAGATCACTAACCCCAGCAACTCTGCGGACATATGGTTCGGGGCAACGTCGCTACCTCGCCTTTTGCACGGCAGCAAACCTCCCACCTATGCCAATCACAGAACACACGCTTTGCACTTTTGCTGCTCACCTAGCCAAGGATGGGCTATCCCATCAGACTATAAAATCGTATCTGTCGGCTATCCGGCACTACCACATCCTCGCAGGCCAGGGTGACCCCTTTGCAGGAGATCCCTTCCCGCTGCTGCAGTACGTTCTTAGGGGTATTAAACGCTCACCTAGGCATGCTGCTCAGCAACGACGCCTGCCCATTACGCCAGCAATCATGCGTACCCTGAAAGATCAGTGGGCCCCCGCAGCCGTAAGGGATCAGGACTTTGTGATGCTATGGGCCGCATGCTGCTTGGGATTCTTTGGTTTTATGAGGGCAGGAGAGTTCTCGGTGACTCAGGCAGGCGACTTCGACCCGGCGAATTCCCTGTGTCTAGGGGACTTGGCAGTGGATAATCACCAGACCCCTTCGATAGTGAAAGTGCAGCTGAAACAAAGCAAGACTGACCCCTTCCGCAAAGGTGTAGCTATATTCCTTGGCAGAACGCAGGCAGACTTATGTCCAGTGTCAGCCATTTTGGCATATGTAGCGGTTCGCCCAGCAGTTGCGGGTCCCCTCTTCGTGTTCAAGGACGGGTCATTTTTGACACGCGAGAGGTTAGTCTCCTGCATCCGGAGAGCTCTAAGTGCGGCAGGTATCGACACAAGGGGCTACTCTGGACACAGTTTCAGGATAGGTGCTGCCACCACAGCTGCGCTAGCAGGCATCGAGGACTCTACCATTAAAATGCTGGGCAGGTGGGAGTCATCGGCCTATCAGCGATACCTCCGCACTCCAAGAGAGACCCTAGCTGCCGTCTCAGCCAGACTGGTCACATGATTGCTAGCAAGTGTTTCTGTCGTCATCTCAGGTGTCTGTACCATCTGATTAATGGAATTTTGTGTTTGGGGGGAGGGTTATTATTTGGGCTGGATGGCATGGTTGTTTGTGATCAACTCAACCACAAAATTGAATTATTGCAGCTTACCAAAAACAGTGGTAATATGTATGCCTTCATCCAGGCCACATGCATAAACCCATACCCTCACAGTGTAGATTGTGTGCAGGGTCGTTATTCTCAATGTGTGATACAGTAGAAGTAGCATGGATTAGTAGTACAGTAAGTGTGCCAGCTAGGTTACTTTGTGACCCGACTAACATTAAGTCGTGATTTTGATGTTGGCTGTGGAATACATAACTTTTGTTTCCTGACATCATGTGTATGGCCATTGAATGGATTCTCCGGTATAAGGTATTGCCGGGGTGCATTTTGTGTACAGTAAACAACAGTGGTTACAAACAAAAGGTAGGACTGTGCACATTGTTTATCAATGTTGTACTTCTGAGCTTTATCTCAGTATGAACAGGAACTCCATGTTGTGTGGGGGCGGGTGGTTGGGGGAGCACAACATCAAGAGCGAGGGGAGTGGCAAAGTGGCTGGCTGCCCAAGGGGAACACAACAATCATTCGTACAGGAGTAGACACGGCGCATTGCCCCGTACATCGAGTGCAGCATCGAAAGTTGGTGTCCCATGAGCGGAACCCCCTGGGGGGGGGGTTTGACCGCAGCGCGTTAATCTAGTGGTTTTACAGCGTTTAGGGGAGGCATTGCTATGTTGCAATGGAGTAGTTTTGCCGCGGCGTGACGCGCACTTCACCCTAGCATATGCTTGTCCCCCGTCTCCTCGCTGGGTTGGGACGTAATTATGAGTTTGAGGCTAAGAACCATGGCGTTGTAGAATGCGGGCAGATTTCCAGCAACAAAGAGGAACACCTGCAGTTCAAATCCGACGTAGCCCCCCAAACTGCCAGGAAACCGCTTTCCTAAAATCCATGCTAACATTGCACGAGGCCTAACCGCTGGATCATCTTTTACCGGCCTCGTAAGTGAATGCCAGATAGTCTGGCCATCATGCGCACACCCCTTGATTAATGCCTAATTACGCATACGAAGAGCCTTGGTATCGAACTCCATGCTTTGGTATGTGTACAGGTGTGGTGGACTTGCTGGTAGAGGACTTAGAGGCTAGGGTCCTGGACAGTGGGGAAATAAAGCCAGAAGCAGCAGCAGACTGCCAGTGCTGGCCCCGCTCTGGTTCAGAAGGGAAAATGTGGGTGTGTGTCCAGTTGGTAAGTTATTATGTGACCTACAGTACGTGTTAAAAAAACACAATTTGTATGTGTAGGGTAGAGGAGGTAGTGTGAGGTAGTTGAAGGTATGCAGGAAACAGTGCACAGCAAATTTCATTTGACTTGTGTAAAATCGCTTAAGGTTAGGAAACTCTGGGCATGCCTACATCGTTTTTTATAACCAGCGTTTTAATACGCATTCGCGGAATTAACGCGTATATACGCGTGCCGTTTTGTTCGCGTGTTTATACCTAGTGTAGGCGCGCAGACGAAGCCCAGATTCGGTCTTCGTGTGTTAGAAAGCCAAGTGTCATCTTAGAGCCGCAGGGGAGGGCCACATTGCCAGACATAGCTTTTCTACGTGTAGTTAGAAGTGTGGTAGGGTGTGGAAACGTTCGAAACATTCAGTAGGCATAGCTGTGGGCATATCAGGGCAGGTCTTGCAGTAGTAGATGGGCCGAAGCTTTCTTCCTGCAGCATGATAAACTACGCACTGACGCTGTGAGCGTTGGTCAATGAGGTGCAGCCTTTCCGGTCCCGTCTCAACAGCATGTGCGCGTTTTCGTGGGCGTCCCAAAGGATGTGGGGGAGCTGTCGCGATGTGTGCTGATGCCATAGACGAAAGGCAATGTGAGATATCGTGTTTTCGTAGCAGTAGTTCGGTGTAGAGAGGTAGCTGTTGACTATTTCCGTTCAAAGAGCCAGAAGACAACCTTTCGCCACCACTTGACTGTTTTCTCACAAAGCTGTAGACAGCGTACTGGTCAGCGATGTCTACACCATTCATGTGGTGATTGTAGGAGTCTACTGGATCAAGTATAAAGAACGGCACCGCGTACTAAATCAAAGGGGTGTGGTCATACGTGACTCTGGCGCTATCGCGCGACGCATAATGTAATGTTAGCGTCGTACGAAGGGAGCTGCGTGTTAGGAGCAGCTGGTTCACAAAATATAGTACATAAGAAGTTGAGAAAAGCGCTCCATGGACAGTAGATGAGATCTAAATACTTACTGCAGTCAAAACAGCAGCGATACGGGAGCGTGTGTGAGAGAAAATACACTATTGCGATGTAGTGTGATCTCATAGTGTGTATTCTGCGGTGCACAGCACAGTCAAGTATAAAGAATGGCACCGCGTACTAAATGAAAGGGGTGTGGTCATACTGACTTGGCGCTATGCGCGACTCATACGTAATCGTAATCGTAATCGTGTTAGCGTCGTTGAAAAACAAGAGGCAAAAAACAGAAGCAGAAAAACGAAGGGAATCTGCAGTGTTCCGCAACATAGATGGCAAGGCAACGCTGCGTAGGTTTTAGCGGGAGATTTGAGCGGACAAGGACTTCAGCTAGCTAGCCTCCGTCAGCATAAAGCCTGCCGAGTGTATCTGTGGCAAGATGGTACTGTCACTGATACACTTTGGAGAGATTAGTCCTTTGGACGGGTCGATGGAATAATTGATTTCATGTGCAGACATGGCCTACTTGCACGTATGCTGATGCCAGAGTACACAGCATATGTTTTACATAAAATAATATATAAAATGTAACTCAGATGCTCTGTGAGAATGCAAGAGCGTCCGAGAAATGACGTCACAGATGGCAGGTCTTGGTGGTGCCCACAATGTAAGGGAGGAAATCAATACGTCATGGCAGTTTCTTCGCCAAGTCGCGGCTTCCACTGAAGAAGTGGCTTCTTTTGATGCACTTTTGGTTTCGCCAGTTCTCTGTAACCACTGCTGCACTTGATGTCTATCAGTGGTTTCGGGACAGTGTGCACAACTACCCTCCTCAACACTCCGATAGTGCTTGGGGAAATGGTGCTATAGTAGAATAGATGAATCCCTATTTCGCCATAAACCAAAGGTGAGTTGTTATTTTTGGCATATACTTGAGCAATGTCATTTGGCATTTGCAGCACCATCGTGGACGTCCTCCTCACCATCAAATATGGGTATTTGGAATGGTGGATACATCCGAAGAACCAGGTCTGGGTATATGGAGGTTGTTCCATCGCGTGATGCCAACACTCTTCTCCCCATTATCCAAGCCCATACAGCCCCAGGAACAACCATACACTCCGATCAGTGGCGAGCATACAGCAATGTCATTACTCTTCCAGCAGTGCATGGTCATGGTGTGGTCATCACTCTCTACATTTTGTGGACCTGTAACAGGGGTCCACACTCAGACGGTGGAGATTATTGGAACATGTAAAGACTAAGCTAAAAAGGATGAAAGGTGGTCCATGGAAATCCATTACCCAGTCATTTTGGATGAATTTATGTGGAGGGAGAGGTTCGGGAAGACAGGAAATGATGCCCTTCAAAATATCATGGCCAATATAGCTACACCAGTACCCCTTTTGACCACAAAGCCCACTCACCTCATCATTATAATCCCTTGAATTGGCAGTTTTTCACGTTGATTATATCTTGCACAGCTCGCTTTTTCATCGCCGTCACCAAACTATGCTATAGTACGTCCCACGATTACGTTATGCGTCGTGCGATAGCGCCAGAGTCACGTATGACCACACCTTTCCAAGTTCCAAAGTTCATGTTATGAGCCCAGAGGATACAACGATATGCATACAGAAAATATAAGCATATATAATGACGTGACATGAGAAGAGATTAGAGAGAATTGGAGAAGGGTAGTGGCAATCGTGAGGATGTTTTCGTGAAAACCTCCTTCAATGGTTTTCCAGAACTCCCGCGACAGATATGTCACTGTTGCAGTGGTCTGAGCTCACGTGCTCGAAGTACGAAGTGCTCTGGTGGATGATGTTGTTGCAGAT